TTGATTTCTGCGTCTACTCCTTAATCCACTACTGCTACTGCCCATTGTAGACCACGCATTACTGCTTACGTCTTATGCGGGGTCTACAATAGAAGTCGTAGCAGTCGTAGGGTCTTAAGTCGTAGAAAATTAACCGATTACAGTTGATTATTCTTCTTATATTCGACTGTGATTGGTCAATTTTCTACGACTTGAGACCCTACGACTGCTACGACTTCTATTGTAGACCCTGCATTACTGCCTTAAGTTTTTAGTATGCCAGGGCCCTGAGATTGAAGATTGAAAGATTGAAATTTGACCAATCAAAACAATAGGAGCTAAAATTCCTTTGTCCTCATTGGTCAAATTTCAATCTTTAATCTTCGATCTCAATCTTCAATGCGTAGTCTGATTCCGGCCTTACGATTACGACTAAAATTTTTGTCAGTGTAATGGCCTTTAGACGTGATCTGCTGGCCGTATTGCCTCTGCATATTTTATGGAGACAGGAGCTATTAATTATTAAGAAGAAGAAGAAGAAGCTTTAATGTTTTGATGATAATAGAAACGGTAATGTAAAATCTTAATTATCTATTATTAAAAGTGTTGATGTGTGCTCGGGAAGATATATTAATTTTTTTTATTATATATAATCATTAATCTTTAATATTAATATTATCTAAAATTTTCTCATCTTTGTTTGTAGAACGTAAGGTATTGTTGTTTCTTGTTGGAAAAAGGAGTACAGAAACTCTAAATATTTCATCAAAATGTTTAACGGCAGAAATTCAATGAATTCGTTAAATTCCAATGCAAGATCTTCCAGGGAACGTAAAAGTTGCTTAAAGCATGCCTTGCAACAGACATTAGTTTTACGTAAAAACTTATTTTTTATCTTCTTTTTGATTTTTGTACCTAATATGCAATCAATTAATAAGTAATTTGCAGAAGAGGTGATCAATGATACCACGATAAATAAATTGGATGAAGCCATAAACTTAGTTGACAATGTTACTTATGAAACAAGTATACAAGAAAAAGGTATAGAAAGCTTTAAGTTATATTTTATACATACAATACTATTCTCATATATAAATATGCACAGTTTTATATTATAAAATGAAGTATTATAATATGTAAGATAAACTTCAAGATAAACTGTATATAATATGTATATACAAATTTGTTATATGTGTTTAATGCATAATGTAAGATATATATATGTTCATACTTTAAGTTATTGAAACAAGGGATATTTTTTGTTTTTACACTCACATGCTGTAAGTATCATTTCAGCCTTGTTATCTATCGAATATTAAACAAGAACAAATGATGCTTATAAGCGCGACAAGTCCAAAACGTAACACACTCATAATATCGCCATTCGAGAGTTTGCAAATTTTTAGAATAAATATACATATATATATATATATTTATTACATTAACACTCGTCGTACAAGGTCGGGTCACTAGTGATTCCTGTTCGTGCAAGTTTCTGAGTCTTTCGGTAATTATAAATTATACTACATTTTATTATTTTCCAAAATCAAGTTTCAATATTTATTCTAGAAAGTTGAAAATATGTTGGTGAATTTGTAGAGATTTTTTAACCATTCTAAGAAAAATATGTGAAAAAAACAGATGGATTCTAGTGACCCATGTTTGGACAGATGAGGCATCAAATTGTACCTTGTATTGTAAGAGTTAATCTGTATTTGATTTATATTTTCAGTTTCTAATCAACAGGAGGTTCTTATTGATTCACAAATGATGACATCATCTTCTAAAGTTCTAAAAACCTGTACTATCTCACTGACGAAAAGAATGCGTGACTATGATCATATCGACTTTTCACAAAAATTGGTAATTTTTTTGCTAAAAATTATAATTATATACTTATATTTATTTGTCTATTACTTATTTCCACCAATGTAAATTAATTTTAATCTCAGTTTAACTAACTCTATCTTTTTCTATTTTTAAACATTAGAAAAAGTTGAAGAGTAAATTGAACTGAGATAAAAGTTAATCTACATTAGTAAAAATGGACATGTATTATAGTCATATTACAATATACGCTACCAGTACTGAAAATTTAGGCATATTCTACAATAAGCCATTAATAATAAATCGGAAGGCAGATAGAAATTGACACAAATCACAGCAGAATATGAAAAGAATAATTGATTACGATAGGTCAGAGTTTTTAGCTTCTGACTTCTGATTTATTACTAATGGCTTATTGTAGAATGTGTGTACAGTATATGTAACGTGAATTACAGATTTTCAGTACTAACAATATATATTAAAACTTGGTCTACATTGAAATTGTTCGCAAAATATCACATATGTTACTATTTTCTAAATACTATTTTTTTTTCTAAATAGTTTATCTTATTATTTTTCTACTATCAAGTACCTGTTATTGCTTATTGGTGCTTTCCAAGTGCTTTTAACACAATGTGACAAAGTGATGGTATCATCTTTGACATTGGTAAACAACAAGAATGTAATGATTCACAGTGTTATATTGTGTCATCTGTGTTTCTTACTAGAAAACACCCTACATCCATGTTTGTTATTTAGGTAAAATATTTGCAAGAAACATCGGAAGAATCACAGTCTCCAAACTGGTCACTTTTAGAAAGAGGAGTAACAAAATTATTCAAAAGGATTGCTAATAGTAGCACACTATTAGGTCTGTTTAACTATTGATATATATTATAAACATAAAAGAATTTATATTGCAAATATTAATTTTGTATATATATATTTTTTTTCTTTTTAAATGTTCTTTTTAGGCATATCGTCAAGTAATTTCAAGTCCATATACTGCTTTCTATATTCAAGAATCTAGCCAAAAATTTTTGTACTTTTTATTATTTCAGGTACATTGGATCCTTTGGAGAAGAAGGCAATAGTTAGGAAGAAACCTGAACAGAGAATAGCATCGCAAGTTGCAGTGACAGTACCTGATAAACTGGTGCCAAATGTAAATACGAAGGATGAAGACAGTGTGGAACGTACTGTGAGGAAGATTAAAAAGTTAATCACATGTTATTGTAAGGAAGCAGGGAAACCACTTGATTTCTTTCAACTGATTCTGCATCCCGATGATTTCGGAAGAAGTATTAGAAATATGTTATACATATCGTTCCTTGTAAAAGATGGAGTAGTCAAATTGAAAAAAGGTATCTTTTTATTTTTTCAAGTAAAGTTCTATCACTTTCTTATTTATTATACAAATTTAATGATCGTTTTTATCTCAGATCATAGAAGTCTTGTTGTGGAACCATGCCGCAAAGAAGTAAATTCACAAGAAAAACGATCTACCAATAGAATGGGCATTCAGAATGTTACATCATTAAATATGGAACAATGGAGAGTAAGTTGAAAAACTTTAAAACCTCAAAAAGTTCTCTACAATGGTTTTTTAAGCATATCCGATTTCAGTTTTAATAGATAAGATATTTTACTACTTTTACAGTTTTACATATATAAAAGCCATTTTATAAACTTTTGATTACATATGGTATATTCTGTGACTAATTAAATTGAAGATATATTAAGCTTATTAAAATTGTAGAAAGAACATTACAAAATTATAAAAATTTATAAATTTTTTTTTAGATATTAAAAAAGGCATACCGATTGGAACAACCAATGATTAATTTTGACGAAGAAAAATGATTATGAATATGCTCTCCTTCTACCAATATAAAAAAAAAACCATGATTTTATTAAATTTACTCGTATATTTATGATATTGTATTAGATTTTCAATAATATATTGCATTATTTTTTCACTGCTTAAATTGAAAATTATTGAAAGATATATTTCGTATATTGCATAATAGACATTGTTTTTTTAAAAACTTTATTAATATCTTTTAACTTTAATAATATCTAACATATACATTGTGATTGTATGGTATTAATTAGTGACACGTTCATATCGATCACATCTACAGAGAAAGTCTAGAAGTAGTATATGTTAATGTGTACTTTGATTGAATACATTCATGTCTAATAATTTCTAATAAGCGCTTTTGTAAAAAGAAGGTAAAGCATGAAGCAGCCTTTCAAAGTAAAACTTTAATAAATACAATTTATTGTAGTAATATTTCATATTGTGATAAAGTTCAATTTTTATATTTTTTCGCTTCTTTTATGTTCTCAATCAAACACTTTTAGTATTTGTTCAGTTATATCCCATTTAAGCAACTATGATAGGATAAAACTGAATCGAGAATATAAATTTAATTAGATGGCAGAATTGGTGGAAAAGACTTCTTTTTTTTTTTGTTTTGATCTAGCCAGTGATCAAAACTGATTTTAACTGATCAAAATTGATTTTAACCTCTAATCAAAATGTATTTTGTTTTTAAAGGCTTTTTAATTTTATTTTGATCGCAAACTTACCAGATGTTACCTAATGTACCCGATAGTTTCCAGCTTTAATTTTTTCTTTTCTTCCCGCCCTGCTGAAAGGCGCTGATGAACGCTGTATTCCAATATTCACTGATAGTGTTGAAGATTTGTAGTGTATGTAATGTATAATACTGTAAATTTTCAATATTAGCAGTGAATATCGGAACGTAGCCGTAGTAGTGTAGTGCCAGTAATCAGTGATGTTAGACGAGTCACTTTTTCACGTATGTGCATTCGTGTATGGCACCAACACTACTAATGTCTTAAGATTCTGTTAAAGCCTTATTTTGACATTTCTAAATAAAATTATATTACTTTCTTGGAAAATGAGTATGAATTATTAATTATAGAACAATATAGAAATAAAAAGATCACAAATCCTCATTATTTGCCTTAGACCCGGTTGCCTCAATGTACTTGACTTTAAAATTTTCTCTGTCTCTGTCTCTTTTTCGCTTTAAACGAGGATAGATAAAGTTTTAAGTCTTGCTTAAAGTCAAAGTAACGTTGGTGCAATCGGGCCTTAATCTTTTTGTTGCCAGAATCTGGTTGGATCCCACCAAAACTATGAACTTCTTAAAAATTATTTTGTTTTTATACCGGATGCCTGATAATTAATGATAAAACTCGCACAGAGATAGAATGGATTAAATTGAAGAGAAGAAAAATTCTCTACCATTTTACAATTTTCGCAATAGTTAACACGATATTAATGATTAAAAATCGCTAAATATTGGTTTTCAATAATTTTATACTCGAATACTATCAATTTTACAGAAAAACAATACCAAACAAAAATTATTTATTTTCCTCATAGAGTTCTAAGAATTTTTTTTAGAATTTTTTACCAACTTTTTAGTACTGCATTTTCTTATTTTTACTAATATAAGAAAATACGGTATTAAAAAATTCTGAAAAAATTTTCAGAACTTTATGAGAAGAAAATAAACAATTTTGTCTCATGCTGTTTTTCTGTAAAGTTGGTAGTATTTGAGTAAAAAATAGTTGAAAACCAATATTTAGCGATTTTTAGTAATTAATATCTTGTGAACTATTGCGAAAATTGCAAAATGGTACAGGACTTTTCTTTTCAGTTTAACCCATTTTGCCTCTATACGAGTTTTATCATTAATTACCAGAAAACCTGTGTATGCAATAACAATAATGTTTGTTTTGTTTAAACTTATTAACATTTCAACTTATTTAATATGTAATAAAATGTTTTTCTAACAACTTTGTAAGTTATTTTGATCTAATTTTTATTCTTTTATCTTTATTTTAATTCTGGACTGGGTTAGCTTATAAAAACTATGTTATAATGGCTATGTTCCAAAATTGACTGCCTGTATTAAAAATCTATAGTGCACATAACGTAAATTGTAGTATTTTCAGCGCTGGCAGTAAATTTTGACACAGCCAATAACAGTAATGCAGGGCAAAATAAAATTTACATTTTGACGAGAGAGAGAGAGAGAGAGGATAAGTACTTAAAATCAATTTTGATAGACAGTTAAAACCCACACTATTCGATTTGTGTCAACCATGTAATAGAAGGTTGCTTTTGCGAATGAATGATGATCGAATAAAATGTTAACAACGCTTTTAAGACGACTAAATTAATTTATTGTTTGGCCAACGATTCCGCTTTCGCTACTACTTCTTCGATCGGACCAACCATGTAAAATGCTACTTCCGGTAAGTGATCCAATTCTCCAGCCAAAATCTTTTGGAATCCTTTGATAGTTTCTTGTAATGGTACTAGTTTGCCGGCATGACCAGTGAACACCTCGGCGACCTAAAATATTATAAACTTTTTAATGCATGTCACATTGGAATTTAAGTAAAGCCTAAAAAAATTTAGGCAAATTGCTTATTAAATAAAATACTTGGCTGTGTGTGCGTGGTGTGTGCAAGATTTCAATCCCACCATATATAAAAGAAATTTTGAAAGTAAATATGCCGATTAGGGAAAATCTTGTTTAAAGTTTATGTATTTCAAATGTTAAACAAGTGCAATTGATACTTAAGAGCATTATGAACGCCAAGACTGCCTAGTGGAACACTCAACACACCCACAGTGTATCAGGTGTTTTCTCTCACCTGGAATGGCTGGGACAAAAACCTTTGGATTTTACGCGCACGTGCAACCGTCAGCTTATCTTCCTCTGACAATTCGTCCATACCCAAAATTGCAATGATATCCTGTAGCGACTTATAATCTTGAAGGATCTTCTGTACACCACGGGCGATATTATAATGTTCTGTGCCGATAATATTGGGATCCATGATGCGGGATGTGGAGTCGAGAGGATCGACAGCTGGATAAATACCTATATGCCAGTAAATACATACTCGAAGAATTATTGACTGATACAATAGATATAATTTTCAGATAGCGAATTCGGTCACTAGCATTACACTAAATTAGTGCATATTAAAAGACAGAGTTGGAAAGTAATTAGTTACTTATAACTAAGTTACAGTTAGAATTACTTTTTTTTCAATAATTTTAACTTGATTTTATTCCTTCTTTTCCGACTGTAACTACAACTTAACTTAGTTTTATTTCTTTTTAGTAACTAATATCTAATTTCTTAGTTACTTTACAGTTTGCATATTTTAAACTTTGTCAATTTAATATGATTAGATAGAATCTGAATAGTTGCGTTATTGTCGCTACTAGTTGCGTAGAAAACAATGGCAGCGTTCAGAAGACAAATAGTACCTAATTTAATTTTGTTTATTGTTAATGTCCACTAGTTCTTTATCTCTGAAGGCCATTTATATAATGGGAATAATAAGGTGTGGTAAATCGTAAGAAATTGACTAATTACAGTCAAATGTAAGGATAATCGATTATGATTGGTCAATTTTTTACAGCTTATTACGTTATATTACTCCGATTTTCGATGGATCATAAACTGAGTCTGAAGTGAGCTGAGTACTTCATGCTCAGATTAATGATTTCTTTAGATTTCTTTAATAGATATGCCTATTGAGCATCAAAATTTAATTGTGATATTTCAGTTATCTGTGTTTTTAAGTCCGATAAAATTTCGGCGCGTAGTTCAAAATGACTACACAAATATGGTACATACATATGTATATACCACGAAGTAAAAGAGGGGAGGCGATTCAACTTGATACCGTACGAGTAGAAAAAGTGGGACTGGTTTTTGCGCCGATTTGAGGAAGTCCGCTGAAAAGAGTAACTTACTAATTTAGACACCATTTGTAAAAAAGCAATCAGCTATACTAATTGTACAGACTGCATATGTTTGTTTCTCTGATTTGTGCTTCTAATTGTAAGGAAGTCTTTTTTTATTCGGACACTTTCAAATCATGTTCATTTTCATTTAATAAAATACAACAACATTACATATAGTTTCAGACGTATCTTTACAATTATAAAAAAATACTGCTATACTTACTGTGCGAGAGATTCAAACAGACTACTTTTCTTTTCCAAAGTATCTTTTTTTCTTCCTTTACATCCACGAATCCAGCATGACATCTTTGCAATTTCAAAGATCGTTGTAACGCACAGGGATATAAAACATCGAGCTGAGAGACATCAATAAAGCCACCAAATAAAGTGAGGTAAAATCGATATTGCAAATGGCGTCTAAATTAGCAAGTTATTCTTTTCTGCGGATTCCTCCCAATTCGACGCCTAAACCAGCCCCATTTTTCTTTATGGAGTTCTCTCCTCTTCGTAGTATGTACATATATGTAGTATATATAAATTCTCATATTGAATTATTTAAGCATCAAAGATTCAGCTTCGACCATTATGGGCCTTTAATTTCTATTTCTTATTAAAAGATAAACAGTGAGAAAGCTTTTATTTTTTTTTTCTTATTATTGTAAAAGTGATTTTATTATAATGACAATATCGGTTTGTGGTTAAAATGAGAGTAAACATAATAAAATTTAAGTAATTTTCACAATTTTAGAAAGATCTTTTAGTATTAAGTAAGGAATTGACCGATGAAAATAAATACACGTGAGTAACGCCATATTCAATCAAGGCGGTTCTTCGTGCCTAATCATTTTTCTTAAGAATAATTTTTCTTCTTTATATAATCTCCCATATAAGAGATTCAGATTCGAATCTCTGGGGTAACAATTTTCGTAATAAATTATTTACAGCTTTTAAGATGCTTAAAAGATTGGCATAAAATCATTAATTATTTACAGCTTTCTAAAATTGCTTATTGCAGCAATAATATTGAATTGCTTGTCAATTTAATTTGTGATATTATTACTCAGCTTCGGTTTAGGACTGTGCTTCAAGACCGACAAATAATCAGTACACAGCTTGAACTGGAAATTGCATGATTCACAAAACAAAAATTATTAGACAGGAAAAACCACATTGACCGAATGTGGCGTTTTTCACTCATGAAAGATTTTTAAATATTTTTTTCGCATATTACTCATTTTTTTTTACTTATTTATACATTTTTCACTTTTTACCTTCTCTAAAATGTTCGCAGTATACTCGTGTGCCGTGGCACAATGGTAATCTAGGAAAATTAGACAAAAATGTGACAAATCTGCGGAAAAATTAGCAGCTAACTAAATTTTTGAATGAACTTTTAGTTCGTCGTTCAAACAATATTTCAAAAGTCCCTATCGATGTGATCCCGCTTAAAATTTTATAGAAGGTCAAAGTTTAAAAAAAGCAGTTTTTCGCAAATATATCAAAATTTATTGTTTCTACGGCAAAAATAGTTACTATTTACAGATATTTGTAGATTAGGAAATTCTCTACAAAAAAGATTTTACGAGTTTTTTTCGTAGGAGCAATCTTTTCCGTATACTATAGCTTTGAAGTTTGAAGAATCATGCTTCTGAGAGGTCATTCCTTTTCACACCACCCCAGAGGTAGAGTACTAGGCGCATTTCTTTTAAATGTGTTCAAACTTTGAAACTGTAGTACATGGAAATGGCTGCTCCTACGGAAGAACTCACAAGACCTTTTTTGTTGAGAATTTTCCAACTATAACTCAGCGAGGCGATATTTACAGTGGCGTAAAAAATATCGCCTTGCTGGTTGATTGTTGCTCAGCTGCTTGATACTTGCTGCTGAGCTAATCTGAACTAGGCATTATCGTAGAGCCAATAGATTTTGAGATATTCGCAAAATTGCTTTTTTTTTTTACTTTTGGCCCTCAATAAAATTTTAAGCAGAGGTCGCATCGATAGGGACGAGACATTATTCAGAACGACGAAATAAAGGTCCATACAAAAATAGCTAGCTGCTAATTTTTTCGCAGAAAAATTCTGAATGCTCTGGTCTATGGTTAACAAATTTTGTTTAAATGGTTAAATATCCAATAATGATGTTTTCAAGTTTTTACAGAATATACATGTATTATTTCATTATCAAAGTTAATTTCATTATGTCACTGTATTTAGATACTTTGTATGTATACTAATCCAGTATAGCGCCAGTGATATAATTTATCAAGAGATACATACCTAATTCAGCAATGGCACGTGACAATACGGTTGTAGCGTCCAAGTGAGCAAAAGTGGTAGCGGGAGCAGGATCTGTTAAGTCATCAGCAGGTACATAAATGGCTTGAACAGAAGTGATGGATCCCTTTTTTGTCGTGGTGATACGTTCTTGCATAGTACCCATATCAGTAGCCAACGTAGGTTGATAACCCACAGCAGATGGAATACGACCCAACAAAGCAGACACCTAAAAACATGTATTATATACATTATACAAAGTGACAAAAAGTTCCGGACCGATAAAGTATCTCGAAAACAAGATATTTGAAAAAAATATTTCATATAAGAATGTAGGATTTCAACAATGCACCAAATGGTGATACCCAATTAAACAGTATTATATACATTACGATGAATTCATTCGTGTACGCTCACGCCTGCGTTGTGTACGCACTCGCCTATGCCCTCTAAGACCCGTTTTCACAATATATAGTTACCTAAAGATTAAAGGTTACCAACAGATTTATCAATGAAATTCATTCATGAATTTCTTGGTTACCTTTAATCTTTAGGCAACCATATATTGTGAAATCGGGCCTAAGTGAGAGATAGATATCGTCTGCAGCATGGTGTTTTCACCAGGTCTCGAGCTGCATTAGCAATATATAGTAGTATTATGGCTTTTGTTCCAAAATTTACTGTCAGTACTGAAAATCTATAGTTTACGTAGACACGTGCACTATAGATTTTCAATACTGGCAGTAAATTTTGGAACACAGCCAACATGCGACCGATATCTACCTCTCGCTTAGTGTACGTACATACTTGAAGCCTTCAATACGCATGCGCGCGTCCTAACCAATCTTATCCACATGTGTGGAAGTGAGGATTATTTTCTATCTCATTGTTTTTGCACATCTCCCACACCCAAAACGTGGCTGCGTTAGCAATATAGGAGTATTACAAATATGGTAAGACGTACAATTTGACGTCATAATTATATAACGCAATAAAACATAACTTTTGTATTCACTATAGCACTACTTTTATAATTTCTATACATGTACCAAAGGCGTAGTAGGAATAGAACACGCAGGCGTATTACTAGATGCTTTTAACGCTTGTTGAATTATTTCATCCTTATTGTTTATCAAAAAGCAAGAACAAATGATGGTAGCGAGCATTATGAGCGTTAAGTGGAACGCAGCTCTAATAAAACATGAAAAATGTTATCATTGTTTTTTTAATACTTTTAATATCAGTATGCATATTACTTATATATATTCTGAAAAAATGTGTAGTATTTATTGAAGAAATTTTATATAATCACTTTTTTTTAGATCTAAATCTCAGAATTTCAAAGCCAAATTTTTTTCACGATCCTGATGTTTCCCTAAGATAAGCGACATACCATTCGAATCCGCTTGAGTAGCCGTTTAATATGATATATAATTTGTATATCTCGGAACTTTTTCATATTGGTCAAGAAATGGCCTTAACATTCTCCTTTACTAAATAAATTATGTTGTCTATTTACCTCGGAACCAGCCTGAGTAAACCTGAAGATGTTATCAATGAATAACAGTACATCCTGACCTTCCTGATCACGGAAGTACTCGGCGACGGTGAGACCAGTGAGAGCTACACGGGCGCGGGCGCCAGGCGGTTCATTCATTTGCCCATAAACTAGTGCTACTTTAGAGGTTTTGTCCTTGAGAGAAATTACACCAGATTCGATCATCTCATGATAGAGATCGTTACCCTCGCGCGTTCTTTCACCCACGCCAGCAAACACTGAATAACCACCATGAGCCTTGGCCACATTGTTGATTAGTTCCATGATAAGTACAGTTTTTCCGACTCCAGCACCACCAAATAGGCCTGTTATATATTAAAATAATTCATAATATGGACATATTAAGATGGATAATTAATAATTCCAATAATATTACTAAATAAATCCGACTGGATTTTACATTTTCAAAGTTCTAATACTATCGCAAATTATGTCATACCAATCTTTCCACCCTTAGCATAGGGAGCCAGCAAGTCCACGACTTTGATGCCAGTGACTAGAATCTCTTGTTCAACGGACATGTCTACAAATTCAGGAGCATCTGCATGAATAGGGGCCAACTTATTTGTGGGGATAGGTCCACGTTCATCAATGGGTTCACCAATTACATTGATGATACGGCCTAAGGTTTCGGCTCCCACAGGAATACGAATAGGGAATCCAGAATCGAACACATTTTGACCACGTACTAAACCCTCCGTACCTATAACAGTAAGAGTAATTTATTATTAAATCGACAAAATGTCAATTTATATTTATGCACAAGAAATATATAATTAAACAATATATGTCATCAATTTTGATCTGTTGCTTATATAAAAGTTATTAGCAAAAACATCGAGCTTGGTTCGTAGCCCTTTTACACATCATTAGTTTATTTTTAAACAATATATGTTCAAAAATAGGACCGATAAGAATAAATTTTTAACTAAATATGAGAAATACCTATTTTTTGTTGAAGCGGATCTTAGTGCTATTTTAAATCTATAATTAAAATTTATAAATCTCTTATATATTGCGCTTATAATATATACAAAATATTACCATCCATAGCAATGGTGCGCACTGTATTTTCTCCAAGATGTTGGGCAACTTCGAGTACCAGTCTAGGTGTACGGTTCTGTACCTCCAAAGCATTAAGTATAGGTGGGAGAGCATCATCAAATTGTACATCAACAACAGCACCAATGACAGCAACTACCTTTCCTTGCGCACCACCTTTGGATACAGCCGCGGCTTTGGCAGCATAGTCTCTTCCTATTTAAGATAATTAAATTTTACATTTAAACCTCAAAAAATTTGTATATAATTATATACATCTAAAAAGAAATTGTGTACATCCAAAAAGAAAAAACCTATCAATTTTTGTTAATTTTTTATGAGATATGTTAAGATTCAGTGATACTTATGGTAGCAGTGATAATAATTAATAATTACATAATGCATTTTGCAACTAACAGGTGCTTTTCAATTGTTTAACACGTATTAGGTTTGTTTTCTGTGGCTGAACCAGTGTACACTTTTGGAACCTAAAGTGACATAGATATACGTTCGATATTTGTCGAAAGCGAGAAAGAGAGTTCCAGAGCAGTTTAGTGCAGGAACAGAAAACAGACCACTTGACACAAACGTATCCAAACAGGAATGCACAAAGTGTAGATTCAGTTGGAACAGAATGTGTACGCTGTGTACGGTTTCGATTCGTTTCGGATAGAGTTAGATTAAATGTAGCTTTTTCCATCTGTGTCCCTAGTTTACACCGAGCACTTGTGGTACGCGTAGTAACTAGTAACTTTATATTAAATTATCTTAATTTCGGCAATACACTTAAAGAATGGCGTACTGAGCCAGTTTCAGCACGTTACATAAGGTGCCCTCCTTAAAAAAATTATTAATAATACTAAGCGCTTATCGGACTACATCCACACACGTCGAAAATGGCGGTCAAAATTACCAATAGGAAAGTTGTCGATATTTCGGCTCAGGGTATCAATTATATAATTTTTTCCCTAGAATGGAGAGAGAAACGAGAAAAGTGAAAATATTTATATATGTATGTATATGTGTATATGTACATAATTAAAGACATTTTTGCAAAAGACGTCGTGAGTGCAGAAATAAAAAAACAAATCTATTGAAAATAATGCAAATCGATTTGTATTCGATTACACCAGTGTTGCACTAGTTTACCCAGTGAACAATGTTATAAGATGCCTTATGTTTTCTCATTTATGGACATGTGTGTTATCTGGACATTCAACTATAGGCCTCTTTCACCAACTCCTGATTAAACTAATCGACGTTCAACTCGTAGAGCTGCCAACAGTAGTGTATCACTATCAGAGCTTTTCCTCTCTCTTACTCTTCTGATTGTGAGACAAACTATGTTTAGTTCTCACGTTGACAATCGTGGTGATTGAGTTAACCATCGATTAGCATTAATCGGGATTGGTGAAAGAGGCCCTATATTCAAAAGATGTGATCGGTAATGTAAATCTGAGATGTGAGCTAGCAGATGGCGAGCTTGATCACGTGATTTTCGAGCAATCTGACAGGGGAAGTTACTCAGATGTCCAATTAGTTTTGAAAAAGTAACGGTTAGAAGTTAGATAATAACGGTTAGAGTATCCTACCTCCTATTAACTAAAATGAGTGTCATTCGCTCGGAAAATTTGATATTCGTTCAGGGTTGAAAAAAATCCGGTCTTAAAAAAAAAAAAAAACTCAACTCGCTGGATTTTATGAGGGTTTCATTAGGTTTCATTGGGAGTTTTTTGGGGTTTTTTTTTTGAGTTTTTTGGGATTTTTTTGGTAAAATTGATTATTTGATATTTTTTTCACGTAATATTTAGTTTACGTTGTATTTATCATTATTCACTACCTTATTACCACTACCTTAATACTTTCATGCAAAACGATTAGTGGGACTATATTGTATAAAAAAAAATTATATAATTTCGTTTAAGAAAATGGAGGTGATGTATATATCTTTTTAACGCCTCCACCTAGAAGAAAGACAACATAACCAAAATACGTCCCCCTTGAAACCATTCCGCTTTCATCTGAAACATTTTTTCCTATCTCCAAAACTGTGGGTGTTATTCGGGTGTGACCGGTCTTAAGTGACTCACCTGTATATATCTTAAAATTGGTATATGTTAGAATTTTATATCACTTCAGTCATAGTTTAGTATACATATAATATGTTTATTAAATATTTATAAATACGTCCCTTTTATGTGTGTTTTAAAAATTTATTTTTCTACAATTCCAATAAAACCCAAAAAACCCACAAATTGCAGGTTTTTTTAAGTAGGTAAAACCCAAAAAAAAACCCCCGGTTTTTTTTGGAGTGGGTAAAATAATGCCAACCCTGTATTCGTTAGAAAAATGGATTTAAAGTCCGCTATAAGCGACTCCGAAAATGGGATTAAATGACTTTTTCGTAATTCTTTTTACTTTTAGGGTTTTTCTACATATGTGTGAGTACTATACGTAAGTGGAATAGAAAAGAAAACTTGGGTCTCTATTCTAGTGGTGAGTGTTGAACATTTTTTTATCTATCTCTTCCGAAGTTCAAATTGCGTTTGGATATGGTATACTTATTAAAGTTGCGCATGTATATTGCGAATGTATGTATGTATAACAATACAGCCTGCCACACTGACGCTGATAGCTTCTCTGTGTGCCTATTTCCTTTAGATTTTCTTCCAATATATATATATATATAAATTTTCACTTGTCACGTTTCCGCCCTAGAGAAAATGTCGTACACATGATCGATATCCAGATTTTAATATTCTACAAAATATTCTAGAATAATATTTTCAGATAAAAAAATATTTTTTGAAGATCAATGAATTAACTTCATCTACAGATACATATATTGCCATAAATAAATAGATTAAATATTATTTGTTCTAAAAGAAGTTGATTTCAAGGTACTCCCAAAACTTTGCGAACATTGCAAACTTGAGGAATATGTTACGTAACATAAAAACATATATAACCATCAAAATTAATTCTTTGAAACCTTTACAACATAATTCTTATATATATTTTTTGAAATATGCTCTTCAGAATAATTAAATAGAAAATATATCGGAGGAAAGAACAGCAATCGACAGTTGTTTCGAAACCATTGTCAAACAAATTATAAAAACAAATGTTCTGTGACGAAATATTTCTTTCCGATCAAGGCACTGAGAAATACATCGTTTATAATCGCACTGAACATTTTTATCTGTTTGCCAAATTTTATGAACGGGATAAAAGAACATGTTAAGGTCGCCATATTGTCAAATGGAATTCACACCGATCGACTACAGATTATATAACCAACAAATAATTTTTTTCAAATGATCCATATGAAATTCAGAATGTATCGGTTGTCATTAACAGGAGTTGTCGATAATTCCGAATTGCTCGATTTCTCACGGAATATTATCATCAAAACGAATCCAGACGACAAATACTTGAACAAAGTAAGTCATGCCAATCGCCGATTATTTCTGTAGTAGTAAATCGAAAAATGTGTACTCACTGTTGATAGCGAGGACGCCTGTCACTTTAGCGATTTCATTTTGCAAGAGAGAAGGTTTAATAACTCTCAAGGAGGCAGGAACTGCTTTCGTTACAGCGTTTAAAATCATGTTCGATCGATTAAGAAAAGACCATCGAACGCTACCACTAGAACGTGTGCGATGTGCCGCGATCAGTGTGGTCTGATCGTCTGATGTGAGATGCGATCACTGCTTGGGCAGCAATGTTGCCAAATGCCTTTATCCGTTATCGACTTTCCCAGTTCCCCCTAGAGCAATCTGGGATTCTCTCAAAATTTCCCTAAGACCGGAATCAGACTACACACTAGACACTACACATTGGGCGCATTCAGCGGACTCAACAGTTGAGTGAGCGCTCGCTGTTATTGGTATATTCTTTTAGATCATCCAATCAGAATTTTAGATCTAGAAGAATACGTCAATAGCAGCGAACGCTCGCTCAACTGTTGAGTCTGCTGAACGCAGCCATTGTCTGCTGAGATAGGACCATTCTTCTAGATCTAAAAGTATGATCCAATTAGCGCGAAGGAAACTTCCAACAGTTGCAAAACAAACGTTCTGCTGAACGCAGCCAATGGTTGCGTTCAGCAGACTCAACAGTTTTGCAACCGTTTTATGATTGTCTGCTGAGATAGGACCATTCTTCTAGATCTAAAAGTATGATCCAATTAGCGCGAAGGAAACTTACAACAGTTGCAAAACAAACGTTCTGCTGAACGCACCCAATGATTTTCCGATCCAATACAACAGGATTACGTATGTCGCTTACATATATCCTATCGTGTTAACGCTATCTACAGTCATCAAAGTACAACTATTTCTATTTCAGGACTTGGATCGAGAACTCGGACGGATTTCTAGCATCGTGGACACTGGGCTTTAAATGAATTAGTACAAGTTCTTTTTCCCTAGTAAATTCACTAGAATTCAAGTGCAAAGGGTGCAAGCAACGCGAACAAACCTCTTGTTTGAAGATACAGACAGAATCGACCCCCTATCGCATACAGTTCATGTTCACCATCATTTCACTTCGAGCCCCATGTTTATGTGAAACAATTTAGTATAATTGAAGTCTGTTTTCTTGTGATTGAGCTAGTATGTACCTTTGGAAACTTAAAGTGAAATGAATATATGTTTGATACTTGACAAAAGCAAGAAATCAAGTTCTAGTGCGGTCTAGTGCAGGAATAAAAAACAGCTCTTTGGTAATCTTTGGTGTCGGCCCAGTGAGTGACCACGAGCGATTTGTGGCTTGATTTGCAACATTGAAGAGAGTTCGGCCAATTCCCAACACTCTTCCCAATACGGAACTCCCGTTCGAGACCTTCTATAATTTTATTAAGAGAAATTCAGTGGTGGTTTGCTCGCTTAATGCATCGATCACGGCAGTGAAACCCCAAGTGCTAACGACGACGACGACGACGACGACGACTCGTGAGTACCATGTGCGGCATGTAATTTCTTTCACACCGTGTGTGTGCATTTTTCATTCTTGTTACTTACTTGAATCTCGTATTTATTTGACAGCTATTCCACGATTTACGTCACTTCTGTGAGTCCTAAAGCGCTAACCGAGATTGCAAAGACTCATAGCCTAATTCTACAATGCGCTTTTCGTTTCCTGTTTCTTGCTGTTTGTCTCTGTTTGTCTCTTGCCTTTTTGATCAAGAAGGCAAGAGACAAACAGCAAGGAAACAAAGAGCAAGGCAACAACAGGAAACAAAGAGCACATTGTAGAATTAGCCTTACAGTTAAGAGCAACAGCTGTATTTTCCAGCAAACAACTTCAATTAATTCAACTTGACGCCGTACAATGGCCGAGTCCAGTGACTTGGATCGGCAAATCGAGCAGCTTAAGAAATGTGAGATAATCAAGGAAGCCGAGGTCAAAGCTCTGTGCGCAAAAGCGCGAGAGATTCTGATTGAGGAGAGCAATGTACAACGTGTTGACTCACCTGTGACAGTAATTATTTCTATTTCTCATAAAAAAAGCGATCAGATTGTCAGAGTCAGAATGTTAAACACATTAAATCTTACATGGTGTTTTCTTTATTTAGGTTTGTGGAGATATCCATGGACAGTTTTATGATTTGAAGGAACTATTTAAAGTAGGTGGAGATGTGCCAGAAACAAATTACCTTTTTATGGGAGATTTTGTAGACAGAGGTTTTTATAGTGTTGAAACATTTCTTCTTTTACTTGCGTTAAAGGTATGTCAAAATATGAAACAATATGAGCCTAATAACTATTCAGACGTTAAATGTCTGAATAGTGATTAAAAAGCAAAACACAGGTTGCTTTTTTACTTGATATATATGAATGTATGAATTTTAATTTCTCTTTATATTTGTGAATAAAAATTATTTAAGAGGAATTAAATCTAAAATAGCTGACAGATATGCTATTATAATATAATTTTATAGTTTATGTCTTGTCACAGGTCCGTTATCCGGACAGAATTACTTTAATAAGAGGAAATCATGAATCACGGCAAATAACACAAGTTTATGGCTTTTACGACGAGTGCTTACGCAAATACGGCAGTATAACAGTATGGCGATATTGCACAGAGATATTCGACTATTTATCATTATCTGCTATTATCGATGGCAAGATCTTTTGTGTTCATGGTGGATTATCGCCTAGTATTCAAACATTAGATCAAATTCGAACTATCGACAGAAAGCAAGAAGTGAGTTCATTACGTTCTGTTCATCATAATTCTTTTTTTGTAACAATTGAATGAAATTAATATTTGTTTATTTTGACTTATTGATGTTGCAGTTTTAATGTTATTTGATTGTACACACGTCACAGATCTGTGACTGTATATGTTTCAAAGCAAACTGATTTCATTAAGGTGGTTCTTTAGTAAATTGAGTTACCATAGAAATGTCTATTTTCTTTATACATATAATGAAGTTGAAATATCGAACTTGACGTGTGCAAAATTCTAGGGTAGGTTAACGATGAAAATGAGAGAAATAAATATTGAAAATGTAACTTTTAACATATAACTTAAAGATAAGGATTGGAGACACTTCTTTGACTAACTGCACACAAATGTCATAGACTTTAAAAAATTATGATTATAATGGTCACGAACAAGTAATAGTAGGTCAATGGCTATTCTGGAAAGATATTTAATTCTTCGTGATTATACTTCCTGAGAATCTTATGTCAGTCACACAGGGGGCAAAATGGTCCCAACACTTAATTTATTGCTGTATTTACAGCTTTTTTTCTTTAAAATCATAAAAATTACTGAACATTATAGAACATGGAAATGCAGTGGCTTTTTAAAAGAATACTTTTTTTTATAAAAATTCAAATAAGTAAGAATTAATTGAGGACTCCTTTACTTAATAAATAAAACAATAAAGTACAACAATTAGAATTTCCTCCGGGAGGAAAGAAGAGGAAGAAAGATGAACTGGTGCAAAAGTTCAGCCAAAAAGAACTGACCTCTTGTACTGCTTGTATTGACTCTAGACCTAATGCAGCCAGTACAGTGAACTCGTGTACTGAGTTCTTTTGCACTGGAACAAAAAACAATGTCGCTGACGCTATTTTGGGAACAGAAAACTTTAGTGTACACTTTTTGAACTAGTGCAATCAGTGCAAGAACAGAAAACAAACTTAATGTAATCTGTATTGTTGATAAAACGTTTAGAGAATCCCACAACTGACCAGGGTTGTTAACGTTACATAAAAAAGTAACGAAGTTACTGGTTTCGTTACTTTCTTTTTTTTAGTAACGAGTGAGTAACGTAGTTATTTTTCCTAGCGAGTAACAGTAACGGTAACTAAGTTATAATTTTCAGTAAGAGGCCAGAATCAGACTACGTATTGAATATTGAGATTGAAGATTGAAAGATTGAAATTTGACCAATCAAAACAATAGGAGCTAAAATTTCTTTGTCCTTACTGGTCAAATTTCAATCTTCAATCTTCAACCTCAATCTTCAATGCGTAGTCTGATTCCGGTCTAACGAGTAACGAAATTTTACGTTACTTTTCTCGTTATTCCGTTGATATAGAGTTAGTGTGAAATCACACGGTGCGGAAAAGGACTGCGGAATAGGGAATTCGTTATTGAAGTAACCAATCACCGTTATTCCGCACTTTTCCATCACGCAAATTTTGTGTGCTATGTTCATGGTGTGTCAAAGATGCATCCAGGATGAATATAATTTAAAAGAAAGACTTTTTAATATTGGTGGACTCGTTTTGTCGAATCTTCGACACCGCCTAACAGACGAACATTTTGAACAACAATTGTTATTAAAGAAAAATTCAGGGAAATAAATCCATCATAATTTAAAGTTAAAAAATATTTTGCTATTTCTAATGTAAATTGATATGTATCAACAGTATCAAAACCAAATAAAGAATTCATAAAATAAAATTAAAATAAAGCTAATATAATATAATATAATAAAATATAAAATAAAACAAAACTATAAATTAAAAAACGATTTATTTTCTTATGTAGCTATATTTATATAAGTATAATTATTTTCTGAAAAGTAACGATTTTTTTCGTTACTTTTAAATAACGCGTTATCGTTATTTAAAAGTAACAAGTTCCTTTTACCAATCGGTAACGAGTAACGAGTAACGTATTACTTTTTATCGCAAGTAATGGTAACTGTAACACGTTACTTTAAAACGGTAACGTTAACAACCCTGAATCTGACTTATATTACCTTATTATATTTATTTTATCAACTTCTGCGCCAACTCTTCGTTTATGACTATTTTATCAATTTGACACTTTTTATTTTTATTTAATTTACACTAATTTTTATTTATATGACATACTAAAGATGGCCTAATTTCGACCGAAACGTTTATGATTAATTCTTCTATATTGTTAACGGAACTATTTTAAATACAAGACTTTCAGCAGAAAAGTCTCAACGTTGTGGCTTTATGCTCCTTATATTTATTATTTTTAAATAGTTTTTATTCAAAATTCTTAATGTTGAAAATTCGGGATAAGTCTTGGTATTGAACTTGAATCTTTTGTGTTTAACGAACAACTGCCCTAGAACTGTCCTATTCAACACCGCAGTTTCAATATTAATTAAATTTTATTACACTTAAAAGTTTAAAATCTTTGATTTTTTAAGCATTAAAGTGCTACATACTTCTCGTTTAATGATGCAGGTTCCTCACGATGGGCCAATGTGTGATTTACTATGGTCAGATCCTGAGGATACCCAAGGTTGGGGCGTGTCGCCGCGCGGCGCCGGTTATCTCTTTGGTAGCGACGTGGTAGCGCAGTTCAATTCCGCCAACGATATCGATATGATATGTCGAGCTCATCAACTAGTAATGGAGGGCTACAAGTGGCACTTTAACGAGACTGTATTGACCGTCTGGTCTGCGCCAAATTATTGTTACAGGCACGTAATATCTTTATTTGCAATTTCTCTCTCTAGTAAAATTTTAAATATTGTAAATTACATACAGGGTATCACAAAAAGGTCAACACACTGGATTATTTCGGAAAGATACGCTTTCGGAAAAAAATTGTTTATATAAAAGTTTTAGGGTACGGAGTTATTCATCATATGATGATATTGGTTAGACTTTGAACGATCTTGAGAATGTTACATTAAGATTATCTTGAGTTTTTTAAAAAAGGAAATCATGTTTCATGCATGCGTGTGTGCGTATGTATATTCCGAGCTATTTAGGGAATAAAAACAGCGGTCGATGATTCAGCCAACCAAGGGAAGATTAGTTGGTAATTCAGCAATCATCAATAATCATCGACCAATTTTGACTTGACTGGCTGAATCATCGACCGCTGTTTGGAGTCCCTAAACAGATCGGAATACACATACGCGTGAGTGGCAAAGGAAACTCCTTTTAACCTTTTCAATGCCTACGCCGACTTTAATCAGCATCCACCTAACGAGCGGTGGATACCAGCGCCGACTATAGTCGGCATCAATTTTTCGAAAAATTGAAAAAACCGATATATTAGTTTTCTTTTCTTTTAATGTTTGAAAATTAAGCACATATTTCTTACATTTGAGGTTGCTGTTGCTCTAGACGGCGTAGCAGGCTTTTACTCACTATCAGTCATGATGGAATTAGACAAGGTATTGTATTCCCGAAAATGGGCAGCAGCAAAATAATGGCGTCCACACATTTCGCTCCTAAATGCAACTGACATGAATGTAATTTTCATAATTCGATTTTATGTTTTTCGAATTTTTATATATTATTATTTAGTTTTTGTCAGTTTTAACATATATTATTTTTATTTATTTTTTATGAAAGTCGCGCTAGTATTTAAGGGCGATCATTGATTGGTTGTGCCGCTATGTTATTCACAATACAACACTTTGTGGATTTTGTCTAATTTCATCATGCTATCAATGCTGAAAACCTATAATGCACGCAACATATATGCTACAAATTTTCAGTATTGTTACTGCTGGTAGTGAATATCGGAAGGCACGGATGCTACGATATTCACTTGAAAAAACCGAATATAAATCGGCCTCCAAAAATATTAGTCAAAAATTTTGGACAAAATCGGTCCTATCGATAAATCGGTAAAAATCGCGCATCTCTACTGGCAGTGTATATCGGAACATGGCCAAAGTGGACACTTGTGGCGGAGTATTTATTTTGCACCACTCTCTATAACTCCCCCCTCTGCATTCCTTATAAGTCAATCTATTTAACTCATATTGTTATTTCTTGTTGTCTTTACATATCTGTCTTGAATCATGATCGTCAATTCGAATCTGCAAGTTCTTCAAATAGTCTTGAATCACTATAGGCGCGTATGAAAGTACTTAGTGTATTCATGGATTCAGTGTACTGAATGAATGACAGAGAGTATGTACACGTTTGTATTGCTTTCATCTCTTGATATTATTCTAATTGATATTCTTGGCAAGTTTATAAGAAAATAATGAAGGGGAAGTGGACATTCCAAAAACATTGTTGAAAAAAATCTCAATCATCGAAAAGTAAATCCCCTATAAACCATTCAAATTCAAAATATAATTCATAAACGATGAGGTTTAGGAACTAAATGCAAAGATGATCGTAACTGAGTCGTGGAACGTAAATCATAGTTGTAGGTTGACCAAAACATTATGCATTGACCTACGACTCACTTACGGTCATCTTTGTGCCGAGGCTCTTAGGATCATATTTTTCTGGAGAATTATGAAATCGATATAGAGGTATTCTCTCCTAGTTTCGTTTGAATCCCGAGGAAGGGAGAGGGGCAAAAATAGTCCTTATCGAAATCTCTCTTTTATAGCGATGGTACGATTTTAGTACCGTCTTATAAACTTCAGTCTTGTAAGTTATTATATATTTTGTTTCTGTAAGGTTTTTTTTATATCACTTTTTATCACTTCTACAATTTTAATAAAAGAAATCTTTTTGCCCTTCTATCAATATATTTTTACGTTTATTAACCTATTCGATACGGCGTTATTTTTTGTCACTTTGCTTCCGTTGTATAGACAGTCGAATTACGAATACGCCATTGTACGGGACAATTATGACGCGAACGTCACTTCACCGGAGGAGCACAGCAGTTAAATTTTATCGTGTAATGTAAAGTATCGGTGGAAGGAAATCGTACTTTAACATGTTTTATAGTAACAACATTTAACATAACAATTGTTAAATTATAGTTGTCATTAGTGCACGGTAAGCACTAATTCAACGCTGGACGACTATAGTCGTCGTAGTATTCAAAGGGTTAAAATGTATGAATGTAATTATAAATACCTGGATACCTAAATCTTTTTATATTAATTATACATTTTTATAATTGCAGATGCGGTAATGTAGCCGCAATACTGGAACTAAACGAGCATCTTCAGAGAGACTTTACGATATTTGAAGCAGCACCGCAGGAAAGCCGCGGAATACCCAGCAAGAAGCCACAAGCAGATTATTTTTTATAAACGCTGTTGTAGAGTATAAAAGAAACCATCAGAGTCAAGTCAAAATTGATTTGAAAAATTTGCTTTTTCTTCTCTCTCTCTCTCTCTCTCTCTCTCTCTCTC